TAAAACAACAGGTAGTAGTGGGATGTGGGTGACTTGTCTACGATATCACCTCAGGTGGAACTGGTTGTAAAACTCCAGGAACGAACGAACGTATGGGATTTGATTTACGGCTTTCCAAATGTATAATTACCTCAGACGTGATTTACCAATTTTTGATGTATTCGCACTTTATATGCAAATAATCGTAACATTGGATGTGATTTACCGACTTGTGATGTATTTGTCAATGGTGGAATCATTATTTTTTTAAATGGATAATGGATAATAATACTACGGTATCCTTTTGATACTGTTGGAAGCCATTCCTGTAGCTTTGTCTGAAAATGAGCGACATCTTGTATAGAGATCGACTATTTGGCGCCAGTGAAAAAGTCTCACGAGATTATCACAGTGACACGTGTACATTGCCAGGTCTTCTAGCAACGTGTACAGGTGGAAGGCTATTTTCATTCTTTGGTGATTTAAATTTGTCTGCGATATCAGACATTAAATGGATAATGGATAATAATACTACGGTATCCTTTTGATACTGTTGGAAGCCATTCCTGTAGCTTTGTCTGAAAATGAGCGACATCTTGTATAGAGATCGACTATTTGGCGCCAGTGAAAAAGTCTCACGAGATTATCACAGTGACACGTGTACATTGCCAGGTCTTCTAGCAACGTGTACAGGTGGAAGGCTATTTTCATTCTTTGGTGATTTAAATTTGTCTGCGATATCACCTTGGTGGAAGCGGACGTAAAATAGAACTAACTAACAACAATTAAAGAAAATACATTACCTGGGAAGTGCTTTACCGATTTCCAATGGTATAATAACCTTGGACGTGATTTACCGGTTTTTTATGTATTTGTCAATGGTGGAATCATATTTTTTTAATGGATAATGGATAATAATACTAGACCACGGTAAGGCGAGCATCGATGGTTGTGCATTTTCTTTTTATATTCACCTTTTCTATTCGTAATTCATACGTAAATAATCAAAATCAAAATAAGCAATCGGATAAACGACTTGCGGGAAATTAAACGCTTCGTCTAATATTTAAACCCTGTAGATAAATTCATCGGGTGTTAATTTTTTTACGCGTCTCGGGAAATTAAAGTGCTCGGCTAGTAATTAAACCAATTAGATAAGTAAACGGATACCTCATTTCTAAACACCTCTCGGAGAAATTCAACGATGTACCTTTAAATTAAACGATAGTACTAATTAAACGATTTTTGTAATTTTCAAGCGTTATTATCAATTATCAAACGATGTTTTGAAATTAAACTGTATGCATCGTTATTCGCACTAAAACAACCATATTAAACGATACCAATCTTAGAGTGCAGATTAACTCTGGATTAGCGGCAAAATATGACATCAAAGTCTGCCGGCATTCCGGGAACACCCCCCCTTGCATGACCCCAAAGTTTGATTGGCTTCCTCCTAATTACTCTTCATCAATCACAGCAGTGTTTAAATTCCTTGATTTGAAAATGTTATTATTCTATGGGGCAGTGTTTAAAATTTACGTTGGTCCGTTGGACCAGCGCCAATAAATAACTGGACGGGCCGACATCTTTTTATTTTGAAGATGGTGGGTCGCCCCTCTGAGCCGACTGTTTTTGTCATGGATATTTTGTTCATGGTTCTATCAAATTCTCCTTTGAAAATATTTATATTGCCCCTATTTATATCCGAAATATATTTTATCCAGATATTTAACAGTATTTCATTACCGGAAATGAAAATAAGATTGTCCACTGAGAGAAATTATTGTTGTAGGTGTGAGGTCGTGCTTGCAAATATCAGCACGCTCCCAGAGTTCGGCAGAATATTATTTAACCATTTTGATCAAGTGTGCAATAGATGAGTGTATGTTCCGATATTGAATACACATGCATAATCCGGCATATTATATTCCTTCAACGGTGAGATCCAAACATGTATGCTACTAAACTAGGTCAGCCTCACTACCGGTAACAATATAATTCCAGCTAGGTAAAACAAGTGGCCTTTCCCGCCATTCTTTCTAACTCCCGTGATTTAATAGCAGACTTGATTATCAAGACTATTTCTTTAATGAAGAGTTCACTATCGCACTGGAGACCCAAGTCTCAAAATCAGGCACGTGCAATGTCATATAGGAAGAATAACAAAGAGTTTATCGTTCCATAAATATAGGCTATTCCAACGTGGACATCAGGTCAGTTTAATAATGATGAAAAAAATGAAGTGTCGTCTACCGAAAAGCACTGATAGTTTACTTTCATGTTGAAACAGGTCACGGTCTTTCATTTCACAGTTCCACACACGTCATGATGAATGAAACAAATCAAATGATTGTTGCTACCGGAAAGTAAATGTAATAAGTTTATTGAAATGTAAGACATGTTAATCAATGTTTTGTAAGACCTTAAACGCCAGTTTCATTTCATTTCATTTATATGCACAATATTTTCTGTTAATTTTCGGAGAATGTGAAGGGCCATTTTAATCTCCAGATTTCTATGTGAATGGAATTTCGAGATACAATGTCAGTACTATAAAGTAGACCTACATATAATCACTCTGCGATATTACCTCGGTGGAAGCGGCCGTAAAATACAACTAACTCACACAATCACTAAAATTATTACAAGTGAATATTTATTATTACAGAAAAAATAAATATCAAGCCTGGGGTGGAATGATTTTTATACGCCCACATTTTCATGTGGACGTATATTGTCGTCGCCCCTGTCCGTCCGACCGTCCACAATTGTTTGTGAACAGTGTACAGGTCACAATTTTTATCCGATTTCAATGAAACTTGAAATATAGGTTTATCACCGTAAGATCTCGGTTCCTTTCGATATTGGCATGTATCGGACTGTAACTTCATGGATTATGACCCCTGATTGTACGAAAAATCACGTGTTTAACTTGTGATTTTTATCCGATTTGGTTTAAACTTGAAATGTATGCTTATAACCCAAAGATCTTGGTTCCTTTCGATTTCGCGCATATCGGACCGTAACTTCCTGAATTATGGCCCCCGATTGTACGAAAAATCGCGTTTTTAGCTTGTAGACCCTATAGAGGTCACAATTTACAACTGATTTAAAAAAACGTATTAATACATCACCGTTAAATCCTAAGGAAGGCTGCCGTTCGTTCTCAAATAGCGTAAAAAGATGGTATATCAAGGTTGTGGACCCTATAGAGGGCCTCAATTTTTATCCAATTTTGTTGAAACTTGAAATGTAAGTTTATAACCCAAAGATCTCGGTTCCTTTAGATATTCGCGCATATCAGACCGTAACTTCCTGAATTATGGCTCCTGATTGTACGAAAAATCACTTTCTTTTTAGCTTGTTCTCTATCCATCTCTTGAAAATGTGGGCGTATCCTGCCTGGCAGCCGCTGGTTTCTTTCTATACACGAAGTATAAACATTAAATCCTTCAAAAGTTAAAATTGTATTGTGAACAGTCAATCAATATTGAATACATATATTTTAACTTTTAACCAGAGCCCTGTTTCACAAAAACTTAAACTAAAATCACTAAAATAGATTTTAACTAAAATCAAAATGAAATTTTGAATTTTATGCGTTTCACGAAGATCAGTTGTAACTTAAAATGCAATTTTAATAGATTTTAGTTAAAATTGCTTGCGCCCGTGCAGTTCACAATTCTAGCGAGGGCACTTAGAATGTAAGCCTATACGCTTCGGAACTTAGAACTGTTACCAGGTTGAACTAACTTACATTCGCTTTCGTGACCTTGGCATTTGATTTACTCGCAGGCTTCAATGGTAATAATGTGTATTGATAAACGAAATCGCTTGACTTTCGAAGTTTTATGGTATTTTGGATAACAGAAACTATTGAGACTCAAACGATTAATCTAGACTAAAGTATTGTCAAATTTTAAAAGTATTTAACAACTTTTAAACTTATACACAAAATAGCCAATGTTCCGATGCCTAGATTTGAAAGGTCAGTCCCATGGACCCTTTCAATAATACTTTGAAAATGCCTTATTGGATAATGCCTATCTATCTTACTAAATTAAATTTTTGTTTTTTCAAATATAAAATGCCCTCGACTCCTATATAAATCATCATAATCCGAAAACCATAAATGCTTTGCCTATGACGTGTCTTATAGTATTATAGGACTGGCGGGGTTTCGATTCCCCGGTTGTACGTGAGGGGGAGTAGGGTGGCCCGTCCAACCTCGTGGGTTTTCTCCGGGTCCTCCAGTTTCCTGCAGCTACTAAAGACCCCTATGTGCAAGCAAATTATTGAAATATTGAACCATGTGTTAGTCCCCAAATGACCTAGTTTGTGTCGAGTTGACCTTAAACACTCTCTCTTTTAGTTTTTTTTTTTTGAAAAGAGTATAATTTATATTTGGATCATATGGTAATATATAAAATAGTATGATAGTATGTTTAAATTATATGACCCGGGCCATTGGCAATATTATCATTATTCCAAATATATCTATATGTAGCAATAGAACTAAAAAACGTAGCTCTAATCAATGTTTGTTAATGTCGTGATTTTAAGTTAGGAGAGGGTGACGGCTGTCCTAAGTTAAAATTGATTTTAGTTAAAATTGTCCCTAAAATAGTTTTGTGAAACGCCACTATTTTAAGTTAAGATAAAATTTTAACTTACAATATTATTTTAGTGGATTTTATCTAAAATGCTTAAAATCGTTTTGTGAAACGTATCTATCTTACGTTTAAGACTATTTTAAGGAGATTTAAGTTTTTGTGAAACCGGGCCCTGCCCCAAATGGCTGTAGAAGACACCTACGGAACTTAGAAATTCAAGGCATTTGGGGTAGTGTACGTGTGTTTTGTTAATATTTATGGGGCACACAAAAGTTAATGTTAGGACCTACAACTTTCATGAATGGCGTCTGCCAGCGGGTGCAATTGGCTTACAACTTTTCTGGCCGAATTTTAAACACTGCTATGGGGTAACAATATGTTCTAAAATCTGGGTTTTTTTTTCAGATTTAGAAATGATATAAGAATAATTCACTTTATTGGTGAAGTGAAACCTTGGAATCATGCCTATAATACTAAGACTGGCAAGGTACAAATGTTATCAGATAGTGGACATAATCAGGACTTCCTTCAGTTGTGGTGGGATATATTCATGAGTTGTGTTCAAGTAGCTTTAGATCCAAACTTGGTAAGTTTAATTGGCTTTATATATTATGACAATCAAGGTTCTCATTTCAATCATGTTAGATTTGCTAGTAAAATTAACTGACAAATTTACCTGTCAGTCAATTTAAGGACAATGTTGGTGTCAGCCAATATAACATATGTGATAGAACTGGTTAACACATTCCAGATATAATATTAACACAGAGATCATTGCTACGGTAGATGCTTAACGAAGATTTGAAAAAACTGAAAGTGACGAAAGCAAAAGGAAAACACAAGTAATCCTTAAATGTATCTGACTGCATGTAAGAGCGATAACAGACGAAATGTTGTAATATTATACAGTGCGAGGATATCTGTTTGAAATTAACAATTCATAAAAAGAATTGACTGTCATGAGATAAGAGAAAGCGAGAAAATTAGTAAAAAGTCTGTGTATTCCCTTGTTTTTATTATACGCCCACATTTTCATGTGGACGTATATTGTCGTCGCCCCTGTCTGGACGTCCGTCCGTCCACAATTGTTTGTGAACAGTCTACAGGTCACAATTTTTATCTGATTTCAATGAAACTTGAAATATAGGTTTATCACCCTAAGATCTCGGTTCCTTTCAATATTGGCATGTATCTTCATGGATTATGGCCCCTGATTGTACGAAAAATCATGTTTTTAGCTTGTGAACACTGTAGAGGTCACAATTTTTATACGCCCACATTTTCATTTGGACGTATATTGTCGTCGCCCCTGTCCGTCCGTCCGTCTGTCCGTCCACAATTGTTTGTGAACAGTCTACAGGTCACAATTTTTATCTGATTTCAATGAAACTTGAAATATAGGTTTATCACCCTAAGATCTCGGTTCCTTTCAATATTGGCATGTATCTTCATGGATTATGGCCCCTGATTGTACGAAAAATCATGTTTTTAGCTTGTGAACACTGTAGAGGTCACAATTTTTATACGCCCACATTTTCATTTGGACGTATATTGTCGTCGCCCCTGTCCGTCCGTCCGTCTGTCCGTCCACAATTGTTTGTGAACAGTCTACAGGTCACAATTTTTATCTGATTTCAATGAAACTTGAAATATAGGTTTATCACCCTAAGATCTCGGTTCCTTTCAATATCGGCATGTATCTTCATGGATTATGGCCCCTGATTGTACGAAAAATCATGTTTTTAGCTTGTGAACACTGTAGAGGTCACAATTTTTATACGCCCACATTTTCATTTGGACGTATATTGTCGTCGCCCCTGTCCGTCCGTCCGTCTGTCCGTCCACAATTGTTTGTGAACAGTCTACAGGTCACAATTTTTATCCGATTTCAATGAAACTTGAAATATAGGTTTATCACCCTAAGATCTCTTTTCTTCATGGATTATGGCCCCTGATTGTATGAAAAATCACGTTTTTAGCTTGTGAACACTGTAGAGGCCACAATTTTTATCTGATTTGGTTCAAACTTGAAATGTATGCTTATAACCCAAAGATCTCAATTCCTTTCGATGTTTGCGCATATCGGAATAACTTCCTGAATTATGGCACCTGATTGTACGAAAAAGTCACGTTTTTAGCTTGTGGACCCTATAGAGGTCATACTTTTTATTCGATTTAAAAAAACGTATTATTATATCACCGTTACATCCTAAGGATGACTGAGTTCGAATTTTGTGAAAATCTGCCCAAAACTGACAGACAAAATGGCCGCCCTTCGTTCTCAAATAGCGTAAAAATATGGTATATCAAGGTTGTGGACCCTATAGAGGTCATAATTTTTATCCGATTTTGTTGAAACTTGAAATGTATGTTTATAACCCAAAGATCTCGGTTCCTTTCAATATTCGCGCATATCAGACCGTAACTTCCTGAATTATGGCCCCTGATTGTACGAAAAATCGCGTTTCTAGTTTGTGGACCCTAGAGAGGTCATAATTTTTATTCGATTTAAAAAATCGTATTGTTATATCACCGTTACACCTTAACCCTCTCGTTACGTAAGCGCCCGTAACGTCATGTACGGGATCGCCCGATGTCGCCCGAAATGACCGTCGGTAAAACTCGGTAACTTTCGACTCGTAACGAAAGTCTCACGTGACATACGACAACTGGAGTGTACTGTAAACATATCAGTAGTCAAAATGGCGGGCTCCGTGAAAAATTTTTATCAAACAGTTTTGCGTAAAAATGAATTTATTTTGTTGAATTTTTTAATGGCGTCATCGGATTCAGACGGCGATTTTAATGGATTTGTTTCTTATGACGTTGAATGTGCCGAATTGAAACAAAAAGAGGTGATAAATGGCCGTGAATTAGATGATAATTTTGACGATGAAAGTGACATTGAAATTGAACAAGAACTGGATTACGATTCTTCTGAAGGCTCTAGCAGCGAAAATGATGAGTTTGAGGAGGTTTTAGATAGGGACGATCTCGAATGGAGTCCGATAACTCGCAAGGTAATTGTTAAACGTTTTTCAGCAAAACAAGGACCGACAAATTTTCCAAATGTAGGTCAGATTGACATAGTTGATGGTGCCGGGGATGGTTCCAAGTTGCCTCCAGCTTCCGCATATTTCGATCAGTTGATTCCTAATACTTTTTGGGAGACATTGCAATTAGAAACAAACCGTTATTCATCCCAAAATGGACGTAATGTAAATATATCAGAGGATGAACTGAAAACTTTTATAGGTATTACAATGCTGATGGGGTTGATTGTTTTGCCGTCCCTAAAACAATATTGGTCGTCAGACCCCTCGTTGAATAGCGACTTCATTAGGAAGAGCATGTCTCGCGACAGATATTTTGCCATTCAAAGAGATTTACATCTCACTGATTCTACTAAACAGCCAGCTAAGGGAGAAGATAGTTTTGATCGTTTGTATAAAGTAAGACCCATGATAGACATATGCAAAAAATCTTTTAGAGAACAATATGATCCTCCACAAAATATAAGCATTGATGAGGGCATGGTTAAGTATAAGGGACGCCTCGGGTTTGTACAATATATGCCAATGAAACCCACGAAAAGAGGTATAAAAGTTTGGATCGCTGCTGCGTCGGATACCGGCTATGTTCATGCCTTCAATGTTTACACTGGCAAAAACCTTGATGGAGTGCAAGAAAAAAATCTTGGACATAAAGTTGTAATGGACCTGATGGACACAATGTTATATGAGTATAGACATATTTATTTTGATAATTTTTTCACTAGTGTTGATTTAGCAATCGAACTCCTGAATAAAAAGACGTACTGCTGTGGTACTATTCGGTCCAATAGGAAATACTATCCACTATCAAACGTTCATAAACTAAAGGCAGTACAAAAATCATGCAGAGTAACAACTTGATCGCGACAGCATGGCAGGATAAAAAGACGGTGCACATTCTGTCTACGAACTGTGATGCTGAAATGTCTTTAGTACAACGCAAAACACGAGCTGGAACTGTTGAAAATGTTTCAAAACCGCTCTGTATTATTAATTATAATAAATGTATGGGTGGAGTAGACTTGGGTGACCAGCTCCGACAATACTACTCATTTGGTCGTACCAGTCTCAAATGGTGGCGCTATTTGTTTTACTTTCTATTGAATGTTGAAGTGTAAACAGCTTTTTGATTTATAAGCTTCATATGAAATCACTTGGTAAAACCCCCATGACCCAGTTAGAATATCGTCATTCTTTGGCTAAATGTTTGATTGGTGGAGCTGTTTCGAAGAGTTTTAGACGTACCCCAAAAAGGAAATTGGAAAAGGTGTTCGATGAAAAAAACCTATCTGGTCATTCGCTTGTACATTTTTCTGGGCGCAAACGTGTGTGTGTTTTTTGCAGTGCCTCAGGAAAACGCGCCGCAAGTGGTAGAGGGGTCCAATCCTCATTCGGGTGCAATATATGTTCTGTGAATTTGTGCAAAACATGCTTTCCACTGTATCATGCAGCTCAGTCAAAATAAACATTTGCAACAGTGAACTTGCACCAAAGATTTGTTGATAATTTTACTGATTTTAAAATGAACTGATTTTAAAGTGAACTATGTTTTAATTTTTAATTTTTATTTATTTCAGAGTTATGTTACACAGTTTACATTTTTGAAATTTGAAGTTTGAGTTCAGATGTTTGAGTTATAAAGTTCGAGTTCAGTTTACAAGTTTGAAAGATATAGTACATGTATAAAGATGGTTTTATAAACTCTATGGTGTTTCTCATTTTTTCCCAGGAATGTTTCTGGATATCTGCCTTAGCAAATACATGTATACATGTAGGCCACAGACTTACCTAGTAGAAATAACATGAATCCAATCCATTGAAGTTGCCACCCGAATTTGATGATGGCACTCCGAAACTCAACAAAGAATTGTTTATTTTTGTATATTGGGCTTTTTCAATTGTGTGTAATAAATGTTAACACCATTAAGCCCTTTAAAACTACAGCTTCGTACATTAATATTAAGTTAAACAAGTCAAAGTAAGTAAAATATGTGGACACCCTAACGGTTTCATCCGTCGCGACGATCACAGTACGGTCGACGACTTTGTCGCTCTTTAACTAAATGTTTGCCATTTTTTTATTTACCATCAGATTTTCAAAAATAATGTACCATTTTGAAGGAAATTGAATTCTCCTTAAAATGGAATTAACTTGTCAGATTAATTTTGAACTTTGTAGCATTAAGTTTTTCTCCAAAGGTTATCTTTAAAAAATGTTCACAATTTATTTCCGATACATCTTATGATACCTAAGTAGTGATCAGAGATACATATTTCTAGTTGACTCCATTGGAAAGAGAATTTAATTTCCTTTCAGAAAATCATAACTTGTCTTCTTTCAAAGTTGATAGGTTTTGAGCTATAATCATATGAACATTTCGCATATTTTTACGTTTTTTCTGAATATTGTCAGGATTTGGCGTCATACATTTTAAAACTCACTAGTAATGAAAGGGTTAAGGATGGCTGAGTTCGACTTTCGTGAAAATCGGTCCAAAACTGACAGACAAAATGGCCGCCCTTCGTTCTCAAATAGCGTAAAAATATGGTATATCAAGGTTGTGGACCCAATAGACGTCACAATTTTTATCCGATTTTGTTGAAACTTGACATGTAAGTTTATAACCCAAAGATCTTGGTTCCTTTCGATATTCGCGCATATCGGAATCTAACTTCCTGAATTATGGCCCCTGATTGTACGAAAAATGGCGTTTTTAGCTTGTGGACCCTATAGAGGTCATAATTTTTATCCGATTTGAAAAAACGTGTTATTATATCACTGTTACACCCTAAGGATGACTGAGTTCGAATTTTGTGAAAATTGGCCCAAAACTGACGGACAAAATGGACGCCCCTCGTTCTCAAATAGCGTAAAAATATGGTATATCAAGGTTGTGGACTCTATAGAGGTCACAATTTTTATCCAATTTTGTTGAACCAAAGATCTCGGTTCCTTTCGATATTTGCGCATATCGAATTGTAATTTTCTGAATTATGGCCCTTGATTGTAGGAAAAATCACTTCCTTTTTAGCTTGTTCTCAGTAGGTATAGGCAAGCAAATTTTTAAAGTGAATAGAAACACATAATTGCGGTATCAATAGTTTTATTTTGATAAGATAAAAACATCCTGAAAATTTCAACTGATTATCTCTAGTAGTTTGTGAAATATGGCCAGTTACAGGATTTGGGGTACCCACCAACTTCGGACATAGCAAAAATAAGTGGTTTTGACCCCCCATATATCAAAAAGTAAGCTTTTTACATGACTGCAACTTCTTTAACATAGAGTACCTACTGCCTAGTTGGAATAAATGCAAGGAAATGCCTGTGTCTTCACTACTGTTGAAACTGTTGACCCTTTAAAATGACATTTTTTAGCCACTGCCCATGACAAAATCTGCTTCTGGAGCCATTTGACCCCTCCATAAAATTAATTCTAAGTGTACCGCAGGTTTTTCCTTCCACATATCAGCTGACAATGGCCCCTATAGTAACCCTAATTTTTTTGACAACCTTGAAAAGGCCCTAAAGAAAGATATCAGACACAGAAAATGGTCCCAGCCACTGTTTTGCTCCGCGGGAGCAAAAAAGCTGAAAAATGCCCGTTTTCATTAGCCCCGTCTCGTATCACATCATCTTTACAGAAATGGATAATATATTTTTGTGTATTTGAGAACTAAAATAAATAATTTCAAAATCCATGCTGTCTTTATTGTATTCATACTAAATTTATCACAGAAACATTTATAAATTCAATTCAAGTGTGAAAAGAAATATTATCGAAGCCATGTTGTAAAATTTACATATTTATGAGCCTTTCCACCAATCAGGTATTTCGTCGACTTAGTCACGTGACAAAATATACATACCTGATTGGTGGAAAAGTAAACAGAAAGTAACTCAAGTCACAGGTCGAAAATGAAAACTACCCGTTACTGTTCATGAAGACGATAGATAATTCAGAATCCTAGCTTCGCTGAATATGTATTCATATATCTAGCTGACTATGTTGCCAGAATGCTTGAATTCAGCCGTGAAAAAAAAATTAAAACCAGTGTTTTATTACCGAGTGCTTTGTTCGTTTGATATATTTTTAAATTACACATCGTCAGAACACGCCAAATATAAATATATGGGGAATAGTTTACGGATATGCTTTACATATAGTCTTATTCTTAATACGTTTATCAATAAAATCATGATTTTACTTACATATTTCTGCAATTAGAGGGGCCCGGAATGTTAAAAACCGAACAGCTATTTGACCAATGACGTCACTAGCGTATGGCAGTTTGCATGCTCTTGGCTTGCGCTACCTTGGAACAGGTGCCGGAGAAAACGGAAAAAATATAAAATCTAAAGATCATAACGAACATTTTTGTACCTAGTTTTTCTGTATTATTTTGATGGGTTCTATGCTTATTTTGCTGCTAAATTTGAGGTTTTATAAACTACTTAAAATTTTCGATTTTTTTGGCATCCAACGGACGGACAATTCCCCATCATACAAGGGCGAAGCCCGAGAGTATGAAGGGAATTATATGAATATATAGCCCGAGGGCTCGAGGGTTTACATTGCATAATTCTCGTATAGACTGTATAAACAATTCAACTTTAAAGAAGAAAAGCATCTATCCACTGCACGTGCATCTGTGACCTATGACCCATACACCATGTATATAAGGCCAGGATGAATGACAACAATTGTCTATTTAAAGTATATGTATTGTCAACTAGATAATAGCCCAAGGGTGGGAAAGGGAGGGCAATGTAAACCCTCGAGCTATATATTCATATAATTTCCTTCATACTCTCGGGCTTCGCCCTCGTATGATGGGGAATTATATTCCACTATATGCCCTTCGGGCATCTCCGGTTTACATTGCATTTTTAAAGGTTGACAATACATTCCAAAAAAAAAACCCAAAATCTCAAACATGTTCAAAATATTTAATATTTAATTCATTTACATTATATATATATAAATATATATAACAATGGGTTTTTATTTACAACTGTTGCAGAACACTTTCTGCAAACCTGCTTCCTGTGGTTCCGGTATCCCTCAGGTAGTGCTTCCTAAAAGTAGTTTCACCTGCCCAACAACCTGCAGCCAGGATATCTGAAATATTACATCCCGCATTAAAAGCAGCGGAAGTAGAAGCTCCCCTAACAGAGTGAGCTTTAAAAACAGATGTGTCAATACCACTATTTGACAAACACTGCTTAATCCAATGAGCTATAGTACTCGACATTACCGCATTAAACGTGTAAAATGATACTAACAATTGTCTGGATTTACGTTTGTTTCGAATAGTACTACAATAATATCATACAGTAAAACAAGGACAAACTCTTCTGTCATGAAAATTTACAATATTTATTTTGTATAACGATTTTGATCTTTTAGAAGTTTTCAGAAAACCTGAAGCACCCAACGTTATATCTGAGCCAGTATCAACCAAGGTATCCAACGAAAAACTAGCTAAAGTTTGACATCTTTGAGCTGTTGATATAGCTAACAGACAAGCGGTCTTGAGAGTTAACAATTTTATTGATAAATCATTTAAAGGAAATAATGCTGTTAAATAGCGAAGCAAAATCGACATATCCCAAGAAACCAGATAACGAGGTTTAGGTGGATCTTTATTATATATACCTTTCATAAAATTTGAATCATATGGTTATTTTGCAACATATTATTACCACAAGAACTCAACGTATTGGATATGGTTGATTTATGAATATTAATAACACTGTAAGAAGTTTTCTGTTCAACCAAAAACCCAAGATAGTTTAAAATATCAATTACAGTAGGAGCCAAGGGATCAATTTGTCGTTCAATTGCCCAAAACACCCACTTTTTCCATGCGAAATGGTATTGTTTGTTTGTTGAGTCTCTACAGGAAAGGATAATGCTATTTGAAGCGACCTTTGATAAGCCAAGCTTAGAGTGGTATTGCCTGATACAACACAAGCGGTCAAATAAAGTCGTTTGCCCCTCAAAGGGTGCAACAAGTCGTTGTGAGCCAACCTCAACAAATCTTTCCGAATTGGAAGTCTCCTTGGATTTCTGATTAACATTTTTAACAGAGAGGGAAACCAAACCTGAGTTGACCAACCTGGAATGATTATGATGGCTTTCTCTACTTGATCCGAACACACCTTGTTGAGAACCAAAGGAATTACACTGAAAGGTGGAAAAATATATGGTTTAAAATTTGACCATGAAATAGATAATGCATCATTTGCAACAGAAAATGGATCAAAAAACCATGAAACATAGTTTCCAAGTTGTGTATTAATCCTTGTAGCAAAAAGGTCAATATCTGGAACAAAGAAAACTTTTCCAAATCTTTTGAAAAATATATTCATTTAGTTTCCACTCAGTAGAGTTTGAAAAAACTCGAGAAAGTTCATCTGCCTGAACGTTACTTTTACCAGCAATGTGCTTAGCAGTAAGATGTATCTTACGATTAGTACACCACAACAAAATAGATTTAGACAACTCGAATAAGTTTTCTATTGGACCTCCTATATTATTTACATATGAAATGGCAACAATGTTATCAGATAAAACACAAACATGTTTATTAACAATAGTGGCAAGTAAAGATCTTAATGCATAATAAATTGCCAAAAGTTCTAAGTAATTGATATGGCGTTTAATTTCAGATTGATTCCAAAGATCGTTAGCAGACTTATCATCTAAATGTGCTCCCCAACCAAGTGTTGATGCATCAGTAGTCACATAAATTGAAATCTGACTGGGCTGAATGTACCAGCCATTGTTTAACTCTGCCTGATTAATCCACCAATTTAATTCAAATATCATATGAGGTGTTAAAGTAATGACTGAATTATAATCAAATTCATTCAAGGATAAAACATAATTTTTCTGTTTATCCAAATAATGGATATAAAGTGGTGCCAAAAAAATGGCTGTACGTGTAAAGGAACATAACCCTATAAAGGAAGCAATATCCCTAACAGACAGTTTAATATTAGAAAGTACTTTTTTATCCTGGCATTTAATTTTCTCAAGTTTATCACATGTAACATAGATCATAAAAGTACTGGTATCAATCTTAAACCCTAAAAAGGTGATTTGCTTTGAAGGTGTCAAACATGATTTTTCCTTATTTATACAGAAACCCAATCTCTCAAACATATTTACAGCTTTTTCTGTGTTTTTAATACTCTCCTGAATGGATGAGGACATGAATAAGGAATCATCTATAAATTAATGAACTTGATATTCCAGAACTACGCAGAAAAGCAAAAATTGATTTTAAAGTCTTCATAAAAACCCTTGAAGCCGAAGATATTCCAAAAGGAAGGCATTGGAAATCATAAATTTTATCCTTCCACAGAAAGCTGAGATATTTTCGATGTTTCTCGTCAATCAGTATTGAAAAATATGCATCTTTTAAATCAATGGATGTTAAAAAATCATCCTTCTTGATGGACTTGACTGCAATTGCCAATGTTTCCTGTTTAAAATGTTCATACTTGATAAATTTATTAAGATTTTTAAGATTAATAACTGGTCGGAAGCCTCCAGTTTTTTTCTCAACAAGAAAAATATTGGATATAAATTGATCAGGATGAAAAACAACAGATTTGATAGCACCCTTAGCTAACATCTTCCCAACCTCCATATCTATTAGACATATTTGCTCCGGAGTAAAACTTGGTGTTACCGGTAAAGTTTCTTGCTTGGGACAAGATATAAAGTCAATAGAATAACCTTCCACAGTTTTCAAAACCCAGGGATCTGATGTTATATCCAACCATTTTTCCTTATACAAAGAGATCTGACCAGCAGAAAATTGTACACTTACTTTTACTGATCTTTAAGAGGCATTTAGTAACTGGGTAGAGCAATACACAAAAAACACATACTTATGGAAAAACAGCTACTTATTTATTTGGGCGACGTTTCGAAGAGTATTCTCTCAACGTTATCAAGCTAATAACGTTGAGAGAATACTCTTCGAAACGTCGCCCAAATAAATAAGTAGCTGTTTTTCCATAAGTATGTGTTTTTTGTGTATTACTTTTACTGGTTCTGGGGTTGAGAGTACTTCCCCCTGCCTCGCCATGCACGATTCTGTGGTGCAAATAATTACCAAGAACAGCAACCGAATCAGTCACTGTTCTACGAATGTCCGGACTACAATTCGGATCAGATAAAACATTCAATAAAGGGGAAATACCCAGTCCAATTAATTTTTGTGTGTTTTGAAATGTAATGTCCTGTGACCTGGCTGCCCGTGGCAAGACGTTCCAAATATCCTGATCTACAGGTGGAGGAGTCAACCTCATACAATTTGAGGGAACAGGGTATTTGTTAGAAATTTTTGTCAAATCAACTTTTTTTGATGTAGATTCAACAATGAAATCCGCCCATTTAGAATCAATTGGATTCCCAATATTTCCTTCACTTTGAAAAATGTCACCAAAAGTTTGTTGAATATTAACATTAACAGGTCTAATGACATTCTCATTGATTTTAGTCAATGGGGTTTGTTCCTCAAACTCATCGTACATTGCCTGAGGATCCATCAAGTCTAATACTGGTTCTGAAAAAGTGCCAGTAAAACTGTCGGAGTCGTGAGACTGAACATCAGTGGCTGCTACTGGATTAGAAATAAAATTTGAATTATAAAAAGGCGTACGGTATTTAAATCATTATCAAAAGCATACCCAGCTGATCTGTTATTAGACAAAGACATAACAATTCCTGACAGATCAGAGATCTGTTTTTGTAAACCACTTAATAAGCTTACATTATCAAAATTAGCTGGATTGTTTGCCATACTAAATACGGGTGCCATACCGGTCGTATTCCTGCTTGTGTTACTGTTATTTATTAAAAAAAGGCGTTTCGCTAGACGCCATATTCAAATTTACACAATTACCGGCTTGCTTGTCACTAGTGACAGTGGCCGTTGGCCCTCTCGTATAAGACCGACCAATACAAGAAGAAGTATCTATCTTCTTGACCTCGGTTTGAGATGTTCCAAGAACTTTAAACGACTTATTAGTATTGCCCTTACCAGTATTGTTAGATGCCTTGCGTTTACTACTAGTCGACCTACTTGGGTTGTTTACAACAACTGACTCTTCTGCTTTACAGTCCTTATTATTTGCGGCGTCACCTTGACCCTCAATACAAATGTTTATGTCAGAGGGACGAAAACCTTCAAACTCCCCCTCATCTTGAACAAATAAATCGTCCATAATGTAATCAATAAATGAATCAAACAATAATTTGACACAACGTGCCAAATGACAGCAAAGATTCCAAAGTTAACAACTTTGATGCTGTAAAATAAAGAATAGAACGAAAATCGTGTTTATTATACTCTATATAGGGCCTATAGTTATAGGCTATTACTATTAGTATTACAGCACGGTAATATTACAAGTAAGTAAAGCGATTAGCAATCACTAAAAAATATACCAAAGTATAAAACTACACAACGTGTAGCACAGTCAAAATCTCAACGAGAAATAAGACAATTGTTGTCATTCATCCTGGCCTTATATACTTGGTGTATGGGTCATAGGTCACAGATGCACGTGGAGTTGATAAATACTTTTCTTCTTTAAAGTTGAATTGTTTATACAGTCTATACGAGAATTATGCAATGTAAACCGGAGATGCCCGAAGGGCATATAGTGGAATATAATGTGGTATGTGGTAAAAGCTCTACGGACATGCTAGAATATGGTAGCCAATACATTTTTCATTGAGAATTTGCAAGAGAGCGCTTTACGAAACTCTAGAACCCATGCTTTGCAAAAAACCAAAGTTGACATGGATTACGGCCTTTGCGGCTGAAACGAGTCATTTAAAATTCCCTTTTTACTGTTTCTCTTGCAATAAATATATAAATAGTGTATCAGTGATAAAGAGAAAGAAAAGACGATTGCAATGGTGTAATTTATTTCAAAATTGATACGATAGTTATTTAGTGACGATCATGGAAATATGACCATGTTTTCTACTAATTAGCGACAATGTCACACATTCCAGCGCTTTGTCTTAGCTGTTGCCTATACCTATTCTCAGGCCACGAAATTTCAAATTTTGGCGTAACCAGAAAAATGGTTGCGGGTTTATGCTCTGCGTAACCATTTTTTTTGGTTACGCCAGATGACCATTGCGTGACCAATTGGTTACATAAAATGGTTGAGCTGTTTTCATGTTTTATCCAGATTTAAATGGTGCTATTATTCATTTCCACTTGCAGTGAATGTATTTTTTAAAGGAATAACTTGACTAATTTATATTCTTTTATATTTAATATTATATTTTGAGGTTAAGTGTTTATTACTTTAATCCCACGGTGTCCCCATTTAAACAATAAAACATTAGAAAAAATGTTCCACTTCACTGAATCCCTATATGTTAATAATTTTTTATTAATCAGCTTTTTCAAACATCAAGTGGCTGATGTAAGTAAATAGCTACTCAGTTAACTGCTCACGGTTCGATTGTAGAGGAGAATCGGTTCCAAAAATTACTAATGGTTTTTCGTTTTTATATCATATGACCTTAAAAAAACAGGAATGGCAGCTACCACATTGTTTTCGGTCACTGAAAACTACATGCGTACTTCATATTACACTTGTCACTTGCAATCATTCATCCAGGCACGTAGCATGAGACAGCCTCACTCATAGGTAGCGACTGGTTGACAAACAGTTGGCGTTTTTGTGAGTCAATTAGATTAGGTTTTGATTTGCTAGTACGATTTGGTATGATTTCGATTTGATTAGCTATGGTCCACAAATGTGAAATTTGATAATTACGATTTGGTAAGATGGCTGCCATCACGGACACCGATCAGAAGAAAAAAAATTGTCTCTGCTAATTATTGATCCTTGTTAAAGACAAATGAAGGTTATCTACGCAAAAACAGAAAAATGGTTGCCGTTAGAAACAATCTCCTATGTCCAACAAGTTCAAGTATTTTTTTGAAAACTGAAGTGACAAAACATGTAAAAAGTTTACTGAGGAATATATTGAAAAAACTGTAAATGAATAAAATTGCTTAGAGGTGATCTAACATTCTTGTGGACTATAAAGTTAACATTAAACACGTCAAATGTGTTTTAAAAAAAACATTTTTTATGGAGAAAAACAACAATAAGCATTAAAAATTACTTACGACGTCGAACATTCCGCCATTTTGAAAAAGTCAAATCTAATTGCCTAAACACCTCCTGGGACGATTAGGTCGATTTGCCTAATCAGTTGAGTTAAATCGTCTCACAAATGTAACGATTAGCATAATCAACTTGGTTCACAAATGCGTATAATAGCTAATCGGTCTACTCTAATCAGTTCACAAAAACGCCTAGTATTTATATAAACCTTAGCACTCTATACACAAAGTCTCAAAAGGAAACAGAATAGTTTGATGTCATGAAATAATATTAAAAAAGACAGGACAGTAAAATCATTTACATTATCGCTCGAGCGATGCCGGGAGGGGGTCAAAGTTGACGACATACATATGGGTCATTGGTACTACAGCATGGCTATAGTGAAAACCGAAAGGAACACGTGTAGTAAATTCTTTGGAAATATAGCCGACATGTGTAATAGTCAAACTCATTTCTCATTTTGTGTTTAAAAATCCAAAGGTAAGCTTTCAAATATTTATAGCATAACGAATCATTTAAAGAATTAGGGGTGAGGGGCATTTTTAAATCAACCTGCTTGCAACTGGTAAATAGCCTACGTGGTGTCAAAATATGTGATCTGTCAATGTACCAGTAAGACGGAGAAATGAAATGACAAGAATGAATGCATGGAGTTTGTGCTATAATACAAATAATTTAGACCTGTGTCACAAGTCATCCTGTATAAAAATTGATCAAATGTGAATAAATCTGTTAATGAAATTTGTTAACGTAACCGATATTTCAATTTGCGTAACCAGGAAATCGGTCGCGTGTTTTTGAGCTGGCGTGACCGCACGTAACCGATTGGTATCGTTCGCGTGAAACTTTGTGGCCTGTGTTCTCTATTCATCTCACGAAAATGTGGGCGTATCCTGCCTGGCAGCCGCTGGTTATCCGATTTTGTTGAAACTTAATATGGTTCCTTTCTATATTCCTGCATATCGGAACGAAACTTCCTGAATTATGGCCCCTGATCGTACTAAAAATCACGTTTTTTGGCTTGTGGACCCTATAGAGGTCATAATTTTTATCCGATTTAAAAAAACGTGTTATTATGTCACCGTTACACCCTAAGGACAGCTGAGTTCGAATTTCGTGAAAATTGGCCCAAAATTGACAGACAAAATGGCCGCCATTCGTTCTCAAATAGCGTAACAATATGGTATATCAAGGTTCTGGACCCTATAGAGGTCACAATTTTTATCCGATTTTGTTGAAACTTGAAATGTAAGTTTATAACCCAAAGATTTCGGTTCCTTTCGATATTCGCGCATATCGGACCGTAACTTCCTGAAAAATGACCCCTGATTGTACGAAAAATCGCGTTTTTAGCGATATTAGTATATAGATCAAGGTTGTGGACTCTATAGAGGTCACAATTTTAATCCGATTTTGATGAAACTTGAAATACATATTTATAACCCAAAGATCTTGGTTCCTTTTGATATTCGCACATATTGGATCACAACTTCCTGAATTATGGCCCTTGATTGTATGAAAAGTCACGTTTTTAGGATGTGATCCCTCTAAATGTCACAATTTTTATCCGATTTAAAAAAAAACGTTTGAATATATCACTGTTACACCCTTATGATGGTTGAGTCCAAATTTCGTACAAATCGGACCAAAACTGCCGGACAAAATGGCTGCCCCTCGTACGTAAATATTGTAAATATATGTTATGTCAAGGATTTGGACCCTCTAGAGAGAGGACACAATTTTGATCCGATTTTTATGAAACTTGAAATGCATGTTTATAACCCAAAGATATTGGTTCCTTTCAATATTCATGCATATTGGATTGTAACTTCCTGAATTACGGCCCTTGATTGTACAAAAAATCACTTCTTTTTTTGAGCTTGTTCTCTGTCCATGTTTTCTTAAAAGCTACGACTGTCTCTGCCACATGATTACAAATCGCAACAGGGTGAACTAGTTCAGAGCGAAAACAGTTCAGGCCTACTTGTTCAGTGATGCTTGGCCTATTAACTGATGAATAATGTGCTACTATAGAAACATATTAATATAATTGTTTAAAACCCGAGACATGCATGTACATATTATTACAAAGTCAAGCGAATTATAATTCTACAGGCTTCACCATGTGGACTACAAATAGCAATTCTGCATTTGACTATGAACGCGATCTCTATTCTGTTTGCCATCAACAAAAATAATTGGAAATGTGGGTGTATATGGCACACGCCCCTGTAACTCCAAAAGTTATTATCCGATTGTTTTTAAATTGATATATGTGGTTTGCATTAGTGAGATGAAGAAGCCTATTTTATTTCAATAATTTCTGTTCATTACGGCTCGAGTTATGGCCTTTGTTGCACTTTGTGAACGCTCTAACGCCAAAAGTTATCATCCGATCTTTCTGAAATTTATATGGATTATTTAAATTATTTAAATTTAAATTCTGTCAATTACTAGAGTTATGGCCCTTGTTTCACTTTGTTGCACCTTGCATCAAAAATTATCTGTCGAATTGTATGAAATTTACATGCGTCATTTAAATTAATCAAGAAAAGAATTCTATTGAATTTGAGCAATTTCCATTTATTACTTCTAGAGTTATGGCCCATGTTTCACTTTGTTGCACTTTGTTGCACTTTGTGAACGCTCTAACCTCAAAAGTTGTCTGCCAATCTGTATGAAATTTATATGTGCCATTTAAGTTAGTAAAAAGAAAAATCATATTGAATTTCAGCAATTTCTGTTTATTACGTCAAGAATTATGGCTCGTTTCACTTTATTGAAACTTGTGAACACTCCAACGCCAAAAGTTATCATCCGATCTTTGTGTAATTTATATCCATTATTTAAATTAGTGAAACCATGAAGCCTATTGAATTTCAGCAATTTACAGTAATTACTTCTAGAGTTATAGCCCTTGTTTCACTTTGTTCAACCTTGTTAATGCTCAATTGATGAAAGTTG